ACGCTGTGAGGGAGTAAAGGGGATTGTTTAAAAGACGGCGAATGCTGCTATTGCTGGTGAATGGAGTGAAATCACTAGCGTATGTTTCATAGTTGCTAGCCGAAAGCATTTTAAGATTGCGTTGTAAACCGTAAAGGATGTGGATTTGGGGCGAGTTCACACAAGCACCTGTCACTCTGTTCCAGATGATACAAAGGCTTGGCAGATGCTAATGGACATGTTCCAATTTAGGAAATCTGATCCACTCACACGTAGTGAAGTACTCTTCTATTGAGCTCAGTGAGCTTCAGCTTCATGCCAAACATAGTGTCAGTGAAGCCTTGGGTGTTTTCTTTTTTGTATATATTGCCTACATTAGGGATGTGCGCAACGACTACTTTCATTAACGTTTAAATGGAAATGTTGCAACCGACTAATGCCTGTGCGATTTCGGCAATCCTATAAGATCATCATTACAAATAACACTGTACGACATGGATCTAATAAACTTGGGTATAACAGACTGTTTGATGATGACACCTATTGAATCGTAGGCTACGACATAAGTTAGTAGGCTATAGAAGAATAAAACTTCATCAGCATACACAAGTGGTAAACAAATAGAGCCAGATGAATCGCACTTCGGCAAGTGTGCTTTTTAAATGGACTGAAAAAAAGGAGTAAGCCGTAAAAGGACAATATGGACACGGTCATGGCTAGGGAAAAGAGGCCAACTTGGCATGGCAATTTTGCAAATGGAGCTTGAGGCAAGTAGTTTTTTTACATTTTAGTGCCATGTCACATTGATCAAGGCGCCATTTTATGTTGCATTTTTATTGGCTAGTCAGTAGACGTAAGGTCGTAGCAGCAAACACATTGTGAGATGATCATCATGCTAAATTTATGACACTGTCAGATAATTATCGCTGGCAATCTTTGGTCGCAAGACCGTGACAACGGCGGTATTTGAACTTCTCTCACTGCACAGTGTAGGGCCACCGTTTAGGAGGCACGAGCACAGAAATCACCAAGAATGGTCATCTTTCATCTGGGACAAAAACCGTACAATGTGCACCGGCCATAACATGACGGGTGGCAAAATCGCAAGAAAAGCTTGACTTATATGCTACTGACAACTGCTGATATAGCAACTGTTCAAGTGTCAAGTAAGTTTCATTCATGTTTCTCATTTAACCCAGTATAAAATTTCATACCGTATTGCCCCATCATAACCGTTAGTATAACAAGCCTATAAGCAAGCTTAATTGTTCTAAACTAGTTTGACATGACGATATGGAAAGGTTTTGTAGGCTATTAAAATACTCCCTTATCTTGCTCATCTTCGAGTATAGGCCTACTAGGCCTCGAGTATAGGCATACACATTTCTCTGAAACCGCCGCGAACGCCAAAGAGAAAACCAATTTAGATTTATTACCCACAAATTTGATTTATTAAAAAAAATTGAGGTAAAATTAAATAATTTTGTTTCTGCAGTTATACACCTTTTTCAAAATACAGGTCCTTCTAAAAAAATTAGCATATTGTGATAAAGTTCATTATTTTCCATAATGTAATGATAAAAACTCAAGTTTCATATATTTTAGATTCATTGCACACCAACTGAAATATTTCAGGTCTTTTATTGTTTTAATACTGATGATTTTGGCATACAGCACATGAAAACCCAAAATTCCTGTCTCAAAAAATTAGCATATTTCATCTGCCCAATAAAAGAAGTGTTTTTAATACAAAAAAAAAAAGTCAACCTTCAAATAATTATGTAATTGCACAATAATAATTATTTATGCACTCAATAGTCAATACTTGGTCGGGAATCCTTTTGCAGAAATGACTGCTTCAATGCGGCGTGGCATGGAGGCAATCAGCCTGTGGCACTGCTGAGGTGTTATGGAGGCCCAGGATGCTTCGATAGCGGCCTTAAGCTCATCCAGAGTGTTGGGTCTTGCGTCTCTCAACTTTCTCTTCACAATATCCCACAGATTCTCTATGGGGTTCAGGTCAGGAGAGTTGCCAGGTCGCCAGGTCGTGCTGAAAAATGAAATCTTCATCTCCATAAAGCTTTTCAGCAGATGGAAGCATGAAGTGCTCCAAAATCTCCTGATAGCTAGCTGCATTGACCCTGCCCTTGATAAAACGCAGTGGACCAACACCAGCAGCTGACATGGCACCCCAGACCATCACTGACTGTGGGTACTTGACACTGGACTTCAGGCATTTTGGCATTTCCTTCTCCCCAGTCTTCCTCCAGACTCTGGCACCTTGATTTCCGAATGACATGCAAAACTGAGCAACAGTCCAGTGCTGCTCCTCTGTAGCCCAGGTCAGGCGCTTCTGCCGCTGTTTCTGGTTCAAAAGTGGCTTGACCTGGGGAATGCGGCACCTGTAGCCCATTTCCTGCACACGCCTGTGCACGGTGGCTCTGGATGTTTCTACTCCAGACTCAGTCCACTGCTTCCGCAGGTCCCCCAAGGTCTGGAATCGGTCCTTCTCCACAATCTTCCTCAGGGTCCGGTCACCTCTTCTCGTTGTGCAGCGTTTTTTGCCACACTTTTTCCTTCCCACAGACTTCCCACTGAGGTGCCTTGATACAGCACTCTGGGAACAGCCTATTTGTTCAGAAATTTCTTTCTGTCTTACCCTCTTGCTTGAGGGTGTCAATGATGGCCTTCTGGACAGCAGTCAGGTCGGCAGTCTTACCCATGATTGCGGTTTTGAGTAATGAAACAGGCTGGGAGTTTTTAAAAGCCTCAGGAATCTTTTGCAGGTGTTTAGAGTTAATTAGTTGATTCAGATGATTAGGTTAATAGCTCGTTTAGAGACCCTTTTCATGATATGCTAATTTTTTGAGACAGGAATTTGGGGTTTTCATGAGCTGTATGCCAAAATCATCAGTATTAAAACAATAAAAGACCTGAAATATTTCAGTTGGTGTGCAATGAATCTAAAATATATGAAAGTTTAATTTTTATCATTACATTAAGGAAAATAATGAACTTTATCACAATATGCTAATTGTTTGAGAAGGACCTGTATATTAATTTCAAAACGTAACATTACCATGACGGTAATTTAAACGTATAGCCTTTGAAAAAAATTTAAATCAAGATTAAATGTGCAAAAAAATTAATGACTAGCTATTTCCAAGTCAACTAGTAGCAGCAGTATCATTTCATCAACTAGTCTCGCACATCCCTAATATACATACATTTAATTTATTTTAATAAAAATATAGCCTAGCATTCCAAATATTCCCAATTCCCATTGCAATGCTAAAAATAAATAAATAGATGGATGTCAAATTAAAAATGTTTATTAACTATTAATTTGTGAAACAGTATGATTTTCATATTACTTTACTATAGGAGTGAATCTCTCAAAGAAAATGTCTTGGTAACATATATGGGGAACAGAGGTAACTCTTAAAATAATTAAAGATATAACAAAAAATAATAATAAAAAAAATCGTACTTTTGATTTTAGGGTGAAATATGACCCAGACAATTCTTATGTTTTAAGAATGACACACACACACACACACACACACACACACGCACACGCACACGCACACGCACACCTGTCTATAATTAGCCACAGACTTTTCCCGGCAGACATACAAATCTGGGAAAACCATGAGTGTACCTCTGATACAAATTTGCTGGGCATGACGGACCCAGCCTGGCATAGACGTATCTAGAGGCTGATCTTACAGCAGATACGCCGTTGCCATATCAGTGCAAACATTACTCTGAGTGTAGAGATAATAGGTGGAGAGACAGGAAGTGGTAATGTAATAAATAATATCTGCAGTATAATTGGCTAAAGAGGCACAATAAGGCTTACTCAGAACTCCCAGACAAATACATTCTCTATTGAGCTCATACTTCACGCCGCGAGGTGAGTAAGGCTTGTTAACTAAACATCTCTTGATATTTGGAGCCAAACCAACCAAACCGAGGGGTCCACAATTAAGACCCAGACAAAACAAGGTACAAAGCCTCATTCGCTTTGTGACTAACCACAATCTGACCCCAGGTTCACCTTGACATGTTCCAGAACCGCCTGCTGCTTATCATTGCGCTGTCTGCTGTTCTACTGAGAGCCACTAGAGGCCACCACACCACTTCTATAGTAGATTATACAATCATAACAATGATCCAATTCAATAAGAAAACTGTTTGGACCCCAATAATTGATCTCATGTTTGTATCCACATAAACAAAGGTACTGGGAAAAAATATATAAACTGACTGTTGATTGTTTGACTGAGGCTTGTTTCATAAATGAAATACAAGATGCAATTATGAGTCACAGTTTACCGAGCAAATTTATTTTTATTTGAACACAAACAAACTCTAGAGCTACTCTAATCAGCGTCCAGTTATAGAAAGAAATCCTCAGATGTGTGTTGTAGGCCCTACTTCAACAGATCGGAGCACATCTGCCCATATGTCACAGTTAGCATGTGATGTTTTGTCTACGCCCAATTCATTTTAAAACGCCCAACTACTTTCCCAGTACTTTCCATTTCAGGGTTCAAGAAACCAGGAAATTATAAACTAAAAGTTCTAAGTGTCTCTGGCCTGCTGTCCCGGACACAGGTTTAGCCAATGGGGTGAATCTATAGCGGTTTCTACAGAGAAACACTATTACCAATGTAATTGAGCCCAGGAGCGCTTTCACTCTTTCCAGGAAACTCAGCATCATTATCGTCCATGTTGCAGAAATACCAGCGAAAGACTTCATTCTTCATCAGAGATAGAGTTTATCAGTAGAAGACTTTGAAACTAGTGCAGATTTTTAGTGCAGACACTTCTCTTGCGACATAAGAGATTTAAAATATATATTTTTTTAAGCTGCACAGATATTTAGTGAGACAGAAAAGAGAAAATTTATATCAGCAAGTGAACTTGAGGTGATTGAAGCAATAAAGGAATGAAAAATAGCCAAAGATGAAGAATAAAGCACAAGAAAGAAACTAGATTATTTAAAGAACATTTACCGGGTAACCGTCGCGCCCAGGTTTGCCCTGTGCAAAGAAAAATTGGGTATAATAAATAAATATAATCTTAGAATAAAAAAAGATAACAAATCTTAAGGCTCCAAAAGGAGGATTTCACAGCGAAGCATTGGACCACAAAGAACCTTTCAGGGAACAGTTTCTTAAAAGACCCATTTTTTTCTTAGAAGGACATTTTAATAATCCAAATAACTTTTTAACATTATAAAGAACCTTTTGCGCAATGGAATTTTATTTTTAAGAGTGTAACATCATGACAGTTTTCATAATCCAAAGAAGCCATGGTTAATTTCATAAAAAAAAAAAAAGATAAATATTGATTACACTTTATTTTAAGGTGCCCGTGTTACAGTGTAATTATACATTTAAGTAATAATAATTAACTACATGAACTTATAGGGTTAGGAATAGGTCAGTTACATGTAATTATGCATAATTTATAGTTATTACTACAGTAACTATGTAACGTATAACATGGACACTGTAAAATAAAGTGTTACCTAAATATTTTTAAATTCAGTGTGATGATTTTAAAAAATATTGTAGTCACACAATTTGACATCTCCAAGCATTAATCAGATCAATGAAATCTTCATGACAACCTGCTAAAATATGGATTAGAAGCCACGTATCTGCTGGAAACAAGGTGTTGACGGCTTGATTTTAACCTAAATCTAAAGCAGGTGTCAGACAGTCTGCAACCTGTTGTTTCACTGGGTTACACTCTTGTTGGATACCAGAACATTAACAGTGGATCAGAAGCACAGGATCTTTTCAGCTTTATATTCCAGAACTTTATTTTTTTAGCATTATTCTATAACTTTATTCTAGTTTTATTTTAGAATCTCAGAAGCACTGGTGTGAGTATTCTAACTTACGGCTCATCTCTGAAGATTCTAGAAATTGCTAATATTCCCAAATGTAAAAATTTCAGGAGCTATGAAAGATCCCAGAACTTGAAGGCAGTTTCTCAGCTTTTATGACTCACCGTTCAAACGTTTTGTCAGCCTTACCACAATACAGAGCTCATATCTGCTGCATGTCATTATTTTGAAGTGTGAGGACGGGTTACTTACCGGGGGTCCTGAAAAATAAAGAAAACACAACAAAGAGACGTGTAAAACAAAGCCAAATGTCTTTTCACTTTCAGTTTAACTTACGATCAAAAATACACTTTCACTCTTTCACCAAAAAGGAAAACCTCTAAATAAATGTTTCCTGACACCGAGATGTATGTCAGGTAAGTGGTATGACCCTCAGAGGAGACAAAGAGGTTTAAGAGACACATTGAAGTTTTATGAGGCAGAAAGTTGTTGGTATTTACTGACGTCTAGACGCTGACAGAACTCGCTCCTCTTAAGAGTTTAAAGAAAACATTCACTCAGCACAGTCAAGCTCGGACCGTTGTGAATGAAACGGCTTCACCATTTGGAAAGCATTTACCCAGGATAAAATATGTTCTAAGAACGCTTTGCTAACGTTTCCTATTACGTTATAAAAATGTTATTTCTGAATGTTCTCTGAACGCTCCAAAATGTTGTTTGGCTTGGTTATGCAGACATTAACTTTCCCTTTTATCATTCTTCAAACATTATGGGAATGTTCTTTGAACGTTCTGAAGATGTTCTCATTCGTTTTAAAAACATTATTAAAGACCAGATAACTTTGATCCAGCGTTCTATTAATGTAACAGAAGGTTTGTTCATAACTTTGAGAGAACCTTGCCAGAATGTTCTGAGAATGTTAGCAGGGTAAGTGTAAGATGGTAAAAGAGAAAGAGTTTGAATGTGTGTGTGCTTTATGGAGTTAACTGAGGAAATTTAAATCGTTTAGGAAAAAGATTGATCTTTCAATTGATGAGGGCTGTAATTGAATGAGCGCTTTTTAACGATTGAGTTATCATGGACGCATGCGACCCGCCTAATGTTTGCGCTGATTAGTCTGCTAAATATCTTCCAGCTTTCCAACCATATTTTCTCTCTCACACTCTAGAGAAACAAACAAACTGTTGTGCAACAGAGAACCTCCTCCATCCATTTCCCCACATTCGACTCTTCCCGCCCGCATTACGACCCAAACTACAACAAGCACGCACTGTTAAACAGAACCATATCTAGCAGACTTAGTGACAAAATGACCCACTATCTCTATGTAAATAAAGTGTTCTGCCAGCGTTTGAAGTTCCTCTCCCAGGGCAGCGGCGCTGGAACAAGTTTGAAAAACAGATGTAAAGAATTGTCATGCTGTCCAAATGCCAGTTGCATGGGAACTCCACGATCCAAGATATAATCCGATCTGGTCAGGAGGTGAATATAGGTTCTGCTGCACAAACTGTATTTGTCATCATCAGTCTGAGTTTAATACCTCTGAATCATCTGAGGGTCGGTGACTCAAAACCACATTCAATGAGGATTTCCTCCCTGTCACATCTCATGATTATGATTTAAGCACAATAACAATGTTTATAGAAAGGCGCTAGACATCAAGAACAGGCAAAATAAATGAAGAGATGGTACTCACCGGGGTCACCTCTTCTGCCCATCCGTCCACGTTTCCCAGGAGGACCTGAAGTCAGGAGAGACAGAGAATGACTTGATAAATATCTTACATAAAATACATTTTGGAATTCATTTGACTTCAATTTCTGAGTCATTACTGAGGTTTCTGAACACATGGATTTATTAAAAGGATCTTTCGATCAGATGTTTGTTTAAGTCCAATACAAATAATGACAGTCTTTATTAAACATAAGCCAGCAACTTGAAACAGTGTGCCATGCACAAACAATACCGAACCAAGAATGAGCAAAGGTGTGGAACTTAAATATATATGGTGATGAATTAATTAAATAATAAACAGCTGTGATGATTAAATTAATATCCATGGTAACTGGTTATGGCGGGAAAAGGAGAACAAAGGAACACAAGAAAACAGGTGACTAAACAGACTGATCGAAAACGAAACCAAAACTAAGCTTAACTGTGGCAAACGCTGAGATGAAATAATAATGAACTTAGTTCATTTAAAATATATATTGCATATATAATGATCAGTTTCGCAAATAAATGTGCTACATTTGACAACCAAATCAACTTAAAAAAATTATAAAAACTGTACTTAGTTTGAAGTCTTTAGACTTCAAAATTAGGATTTTTAATGTGACATTATTTTCATGACAATAAAAAAAAATCTTGTAATGCAGCATTTAGCAGAAGGTTTTGGTTAAAGCTGCTGTCCGTAGCTTTTTTTGGGTTAAAAATTATCCAAAATACATATTTGATAAAATACATAACCAGCCAGTGTTCAAAACTATCTGCTTGCCTTAGCTCGATTCAAAACGGTAAGCTTGTAATAATGTTTTTAATTTTAGTGGTACTGGTGGATTTCCGCGGGAGATTCGAGCATCTCTTTGGGGACATTCTAAAACGCTTAACGTGAAAAACGCTTAACGCTTACTGCACTAAGACAGTGATATTAAAAGACCAAACTCAGTACACATCATATTAATAAACCATACTATGTATAAAAAAATAAGATGAATCCAAAATATGAACGCAACGCGTTTAATTTCACGTTAAGCATTTTCTTCCCATAGAAAACCGTTATAAGAAAACGCTTAACGTGGCTTACTGTACTAAGACAGTGATATTAAAAGACCAAACTCAGTACACATCATATTAATAAACCATACTATGTATAAAAAAATAAGATGAGTCCAAAATATGAACGCAACGCGCTTAACGTGGCTTACTGGTCTTTTAATATCACTGTCTTAGTACAGTAAGCCACGTTAAGCGTTTTCTTATAACGGTTTTCTATGGGAAGAAAATGCTTAACGTGAAATTAAACGCGTTGCGTTCATATTTTGGACTCATCTTATTTTTTTATACATAGTATGGTTTATTAATATGATGTGTACTGAGTTTGGTCTTTTAATATCACTGTCTTAGTACAGTAAGCCACGTTAAGCGTTTTCTTATAACGGTTTTCTATGGGAAGAAAATGCTTAACGTGTAATTAAACGCGTTGCGTTCATATTTTGGACTCATCTTATTTTTTTATACATAGTATGGTTTATTAATATGATGTGTACTGAGTTTGGTCTTTTAATATCACTGTCTTAGTGCAGTAAGCCACGTTAAGCGTTTTTCACGTTAAGCGTTTTAGAATGTCCCTGTCTTTGCGTCATTACGTCACATCTGTACACATAAAGAAGGAGTCTCGGCTAGTATAAGCTATATTGCGTGTGAGGATGTTGGAGGTAGAGATTTATAGCCTTTTCTCACAGCACTTGATATAATTAAACTTATCAATTTGATGGCGGATCCAGAAAGGTTCAAACGACGATCATCATCAGTGACAACTAAAGACTCACCCGCTGTAACATGCAAAAGACTTCGTTCGGACTTCGGAGTGGCTACAGAAAAAAAGAGACTGCAACCGGACCCATGCGAAAACAAGGATAATATCGGAAGGACATTACATGATGTAGTCACGCAATGCTTGCTGACGTTGTTAACATTAACAATTTGAGAACATAGTATAGCTACTTTACACGGTTTTGCGTGAAATGATAACTTATAAGCAATTGTTAGATTTAATCAGCGCGATTTACTGCAATGTCAGAAACAGAACAAAAGTCAATGTTTCTTACTAGTTCAGATGACATTTGCCGGTGAAAATTCTTATGTTGGTCATACTTCCAAAAAGAATAATCTGTGATTCTGAATGACAATATCCACATCGGCGCGGTGACTGACAGCTGCACACTCTCCTCAAACACTGTGTTCCTCCGCGCTGTGCCGTGCCGAGGGTGTTGAACTACAACTCACGTAAAGTTGATAATTCCGCGAATGACTGCAATTGCAGATTTCGAACAGAGATGGCGACAAAGAGGAAAAATGCCGGACTGCAGCTTTAACTTAATCTTGTATTTTTATTTGATGTATATTGTATTAGTTTGAGATCAAACAATAATTGTTGGACTCCTTGTTAAAGTTAATGTAAAATATCTGATTCTCATTAAATATAAAACAGAAATGAATATCATCTTACCTGATAGTAAAACAAATATTGTTTGGATTATGGAAATGAGAATTTTAACTGGGAGACTTGGAGAGGTTTAAATTTTCTTAATTGTCATGAAAATAAAATAATGATTATTATTGTCAATCTAAAAACGATACTTTATTTTCAATTTTAATTACGATTTTTCTTCTTTTTTTTTCTCGGAGTGAAATCCGACCTGGACATTCCCTGACAGTTTTCATGAGATTCACGCTAACAGAAGTCCATATGAGCCAAATGGCAGTAACTTGACCTTGGCAATAGAAAGGTGTAAAAATAGAACTACATGTGTGATGTAGAAACCAGTACCATTTGAGTTTAAACTATGGAAACGATCAAGATTAGGTTCAAATCAATAGTTCACCGATAAAAGCAGATGAAGTATGCATATCTGTGCATGAGGCATCTGGGCACCTCGCATCACTTCCTGTTCGTGTATATGTAAGTCAGAACAAAGCAGCCGAGGGCATACCTCCCAGACGGTAGCCAGGTCCCCCTTCTTCCCTCCTCTCTGTTCCTCTGGTTAACCGATTAACCCCCTCCTTCTTTCTGTCCCTTGGGCACTAAATCACTTCCATCAACCTTTTTTCCCTCCCTTAGGTACTGTGAAATAGAAACCATACCTGAGCTTGGCAGGAGAAGGGGGATTCTGGGATGCTAACAAGCTTGGGTCGCAGACTCACTCTTCTTGTTGGCATTATTGTTATTGTTCTAGGTTAATCAACCCCTGCTGGTTTAACCCCCATTAGAAAGATTGACAAGAAAGGGTCTCAGGGTTTCACTTCCCCGGTGTGGTTCACTTTACTAAATCTAGCGCATCCAGTCTCCTTACAGGAATGTTCAAAGTTCAATACAACTTAAACTCTGTCGCATCTGTGACATGCAGTCGAATAACACAGGAAATATATTCTACATGTCTCTCAGTTATTTATCTATTCATTTATTAATGATTTATTTTTGCAGTTTTTGTCTTTTTATTGTGATAGGACAGTGAGTAGACAGGAAGCGAAGTGGAAGAGAGAAAGGGGGACGGGATCGGGAAAGGTCCATGAGCCGGAAATCGAACTCGGGTCACCCGAGCTGCCCACAGGGCTATCAGCACTGCACAGACGATGGGATCATTTTCAACTTGACTGCAATGTTTCATTCTCCATCATTCAATGCATATTGTCTGTACATAAATCAACTTTAATGTAATGTCATTGCTCTATCGCCTATTGCCTCAATGGTGTACAGTGTCTTTGGGTGGATTGCTGAGGCAGATTGCCAGCAACAGTCATTTTGATTGTTTGTGAATTGATCTTAGGCCCTGTTTACACCTGGTGTCTCTTTTGTCCACTTTCAACCGCTTCTGTCCTGATTTCTTCAAGGGTAGGGTCTACGGGTGGTAAATGTATGGGTTTTTCAGATCTTTCGATCTAATGGACAAAACAAACTTGCGCAATTTACATATGAACGAGCCTGGAGACGATGAAAAAACATAATGAGAACATCAGCTTTTGTTTCTGCTCTGACAGCCACAAGATGACGTGGATCGCTGTGAGTGTGTGTTAGAAATCAGGAATGGTGAGAGAACATTGTGCTTGGTACATTTTTCATCTTCAAACCAAACTTGGGTCTTCAGACGACAAAGTTTAAATCCCGTCTGGCTAGAGCGCTTCCATTAATGTTAATGTGTTAGGTCAGTATAGGCGGAGAGTAGGCCTCTTTTGTGGCTGTTTGAACGCATTCGACCACAAGAGTGTTTACACTACGAAAGCAATCCAGTGCAGTGCGTTTTCAACTAGCTCTGGAAGTGGTCAAAAGTGGACAAGCTCAAAACATTTTAGACCCAGTTTACACCTGAATTTAGTCCACCTGTGATCCGATCGACCAAAACGCATCTTAATGCCAGGTGTAAACAGGGCCTTAGTGATTTAGGAGTCCTCTCGACTACCCCTAACTTTTCCCAGATTTAGGAGCTGGTTTTAGCGCTAAAATGCTTGCTCTTAAAGAAAAAATTTAGGAGTCTTACAATTAGGACTGACACAGCCATTATTTTAAGAGTTTCTCCTAAATCGACAAGTTAGGAGCTACTTTTAGCCTTAGTGGCACTGAAATCACATGCTTTGCTTTTAATAGTTGTTTTAACAAAAATGCGATGCACATTACTGCTTAAAAAAAAAACCCAGGTTGAATTTCATTTGTACAGAAGTGTACACACAGTTTTTGTTTATTTTTACAAACTGAGGAACTTGAAGTTATTATCCATGGTAAATGACAGCATTGATGCTTAACTTATAAACTGACCTCAGAACTTGTATAAAACCTGTAACATTCCTTGCCAAAGGTTAAAGGTCACTAAGTGTACTGGAAGTTGCTTTGTACAAACCTTTCACTATGAAATCTTTCTTGTTAAGAAGACTTTCAGTCTTTGTCTGTAAATTATATCTTACGCCATTCTCTTTCTGTTGCTCTCTGACTGTTCTATATAATATACGGTTTTCGGCTCAACTTCC